AATAATTTACAAAATCACTACTGCTACTTTTTAAAATTTAGTAACCAAATAAAATCCATACAAATATAAACTGACTCCATATTCTTTCCCCAGCGGAAGATAATCAAAGCAACGAAGAAAGGCAAGCCTAAGCCGAAAAAGGAACGTACGATGCCGACATTGGAGAAGACGCCGGCTCTCCTTCCAACAGCAACCTCTGTCGACGTCGCGGATGAGCATCTGGGCACCCCGGTGCCCAATACAACAGCGGAGACCACGCATACGGTTTCGAAGATCTCCGAGTTGCCCGACGAAAGTAAGTTTCCTCTGTGTGTGAGTGACTAGAATGTGTGCATTTCAGTGTTAAGTGCCCACCTCTCCCCCAGTGAGCAGTCATTTTGAGCTGCACTCCAGGGCATAGATGGCTCCACAGCCATAAAGACTCGTGGGTCTGAACACGGGTAGGAAGAGCGGGGAAGATTTCCCCAGCGTCCTAAGTTTGGATCAAGTATACTGTGCATAACATGGCTACTTAAATAGTATGCATTTTTCCCATTAATATTCAATGTCCTTCTAAATTTAAATATATTTTGTAGAAGACCTGCAAACACAAATATTCCTTCTTACATTCACTTGGTAGCAAACCACGCCTTCGTTAGTTTTGTACTTGGAGAAAGGGCATCTTTTGGTTTTAAAAAAAGTTTCCAATTTTTTTACCATCGTGAAATGTTTTATTCAAAAAACACCGGCTTCGTGAATTTATTGATGTTGCCTACAAAGTATACAACACGATCCACGCGATCCGTTATAACGTTTTATGAGAACTATTTGATCTCTTTCCAATAGCATAGGAAGATGTACATACCTCTCTGAACAAAATGCATTCAACATTGAAAATTTTGAATTCAAGTGTAACGGCAAGTTAGGAAGTTTTTTTAAACCGAAAGATACTCTTTCTTCAAGTATAAAAATTGATGAAGGCATACTGTGCTACCAAGCGAGTACATGAAGGCTTAGTTTTGTACATGTTTTCTATAAAATACATTGAAATCCATAGAAAAATTGAAAATCAGTGGGTACATTGCATACTATTTAAGTAACCACTTCGTACAATGTTTACTTGTTGCAGGCAGTCCGTAGGAAGCTCGGTCAAAAGCTGGAATTCTAACGGGACTGAAGTATCTTGGGAGTAGATTGTTCGATAATCAGTAGTACAACGCTACTTAGGTCATCCGTTCAAATCGAAAAAAAAACATTTCACAATTTCGGTTGACATTTCATTAGATAGGGGATCTACTGTTAGTCCGCTTCATTTACCAGTCGACCATTTTAATATTTGCTTCTTCATCGCTTCTCCTGTTTACATGTTGGAAGGGTATTCAACTCTTCCTCGTGCCCTTTAAGGCAGCTTGTCCGTCGCAAGCGAAGGTATCCGCTACTGTTCCACGATATGCGGTTGCAAGGCTGAGTTTCGCTGTATCTATTGCACTTTCTCCCTCTCCCACGCTCATCTTATTCGGATAGCAAGGCAGCCAGCATGACCGAATCTGGGCTGATATTAGCTGGTTACGTCCCCTTGGAGGTTTGGAATAAATAGTGCCTCAACATCGACACCCTCGAACTGGCTTCGCTAGTGACCACTGCTATCGCAGGGAGTTAAGTGAGTTAAACCCAGGCACCTGCGATCTTCAGACCATGGTTACTTAGTAGAGGAGAAGTCGTTAAAGGTCAGAGTAGTGGGAAGAGTATATTGTGTACACAAGGAAAAGGGGAATAGATGAACAGAGATTTGACTTGGCGAACTGACGACCGGCAGGAGAGCCAGCCGCGATCCAAGTGCGGTTTTAGCAGCAGGCATGCAAGCAGCAGCGAGAACGGACATTGTCTGGTTGCCTTGAAGGTTATTGGCCAGACAAACTGCATCGACCTAGAAGTGCCTGCGTCCTATTCGCCGGCGGGAGAAAAGAGCCTTTGCGGATCTGCGATTGGCTGTTGCAGAGGCCGCCGTCAGCGCGGACATACGCGTTAGCAGCAGTGGGCATTCGGACATGCTTGCCGATGTGGAGTGAGTCACCACACTGCTGCCTGAGACAGTAAATAAGGGCTCTGTGCACAATAAATCCTTCCCACTGGTCGGCCTGATCATTGTTCGAATATCGATTTCGAGGATGTGCACCACGAGCTTCAGCAAACTGAAGGCGGACGCGATGACTTGCGCTGGATTATAGTGAAAGCAGTGCACTAATCACACCCATTACTTAAACCCCTTAAGGGTGATGACCCCGACGGGATAGTTGCAGCTACTTGTACCTGATGTTCATTGCAATTCCCGATCTCCTCTCACAAAGTACTGGGCATACCGACAACTGATCCGGAATTTAAAAACAAGGTCTTTATCCTGTTCGAGTCTTGTCCACCAAAAGCCAAAATTACGATCGTCTTGCGCTGTCGCCACGCCCAGGGGTTTTGCCACCTTGACGCCGCGGTTAGCCTATGGAATCGATATCGCGACACATTACAGTAGTCGCCGGTTATTAAGCCCACGGTTAATAGGCCCAGCCGCGT